GGGGACCCGCGGCCCCCGTGTCCCTGCAGCCCCGAAGCCGGCGCCTGCGTCCGGCGCAAGGACGAGGACCTAGGGGCCGTGTAATCGACAGGAGCATCTCCCCGGTCCTGGTCTCCCTGACAAGAGCCCAGCGCCTTTACCCTGCCGGGCTTAGAGCCGGATCCATGGGATCCATGCCGGGAGGCACTTGCGGAGGATCGGGGTCCCCTTCCTTTTCCATTCATTGAGTTGAATTGTCCACTTAATTCAAACATGGTATTGGAATCAAGAGAAAAATTATTTATTCCATTCCAGGTAGCTTTTAGTTGAATGTCTTTAAAAAAAAAAAAATTCTAAAATTAACTTTGCTGATTTTCCTTTAAAATCCATAGAGATACTTTAAGTGATGATCCCTAGGAAAAAAAATCTTGCAGAAAGTAAAGATTTCTCTGAACTTTTTGGAGAAAATCACTTCATTCATTCATTTATTCAGTCAACAAACATCTGTTGAGCCCAACTGGGTGCCAGGCAACTAGTATGGAACTGTAGGACTGGTTCCGGATGCACTTTTAGAATTAAGATACCCTTGTGTGAAGTCTAAGGAGGAGCAAAGGCGTAAAATGTCAGATGCCAAAACCAAAAGAAGTGCCATTGGCTACAGTACTGATAACAACAAGAGGTGCGAATTAAGAATTTAACACATTTGATAAACTACACACCATATGCTTTGAAAACCAGCCACTTTTTTCACCTATTTCGTCGTCTTCTCCCCTCTTCTTCTGGTCCATAGGAGCCCCGCCAGGCTGCAGTCTTGAAGCCAGAGTCCTGCCTGAGGTCTGAGGAGTGAAGTCAGCCCTTCTGTATGTTTGTAAACAGCCTGTCAGCTTTGCTAAGGGAACAAACACTCTCTCGGATCCTGGCGGGTTCTCTCCTTGGCCTTACAAAGGAAACTGCAAAGCTGTGCTCGGGCTTAGGGCAGAATTTGGCCAACGCGAGGTGCTTTTCTCCAATATGAGCTCTCTCGTTCAGGAATCAA